GTAATACACAGAATTTCCACGGTCACTTTCAACTTAACAACCTTTATAACACACACACTATAAATCACAGTGATTCACACACTTTACTTAGTGTGCCTACAGTTCACTTGTCTCAATTATCTATCTATCACTGCAATTTATCTGCCTCTTGCTGACTTTATTTGCCGGGCTTATATACTAAAAAAAGAGGGCGCCTAGCAAACACTCGGATATTCACGGAGTTCTTCGATAAGTCATGATCCTTCTAGAAACTCCAGCGCGCATGCTCCCAGCGTCTCGTGACTTCCGCTGTCGTAACAATATGTAATACTTATATATATATATATTAGTAGTAAATGTAAATAGTACATCAAAGTCATCAAAAATCTATGTCATCTCTAACTTAAGCTATATATAAGTTAACAATGCAGTTTTGGGGTTGAAATGTACATGCATTTGTAGACTTCCCCCTTAATGTTATCTCTGATTTTATTAGAAACTAAGAATAATCTTTTATATTGCTATCGAAATTGTTGGTAACTGATCTTATATTTTACAAATGATCATATGACACTTCGTTCCCTGGTTAGCTATTGAATATTACACATACGTGAAAAATACCAAGAAAGTAAAACAACATAAGGTTTATGTCAATAAAAGTGCCATCAAAATTATTTTTATCTTTTACATGATGAAATATTAACAATCTATAACACCTCCATACATTCCTTCTGTAAGCAGCTCCACCAGCTTTAAATTATTTGGTTTCTTGTACTATGTCTATACATGAAAGTTCGCTCACTTCAAAAGGAATCATTATTATTTCAACGTAAAAAATCGTTGAAAGGCGCACACGTGTATGTTTTCAGTATACCCATCTTCATGAATTATTCAACAACCACCTTTTCTACAGCTTCAAAGAAGTAGCCTAAACTATCTTCGGTTCACTGTTAGTGTTATATGCATTAAGCCATATCATCTTGTGTGATAGCAATCAACGCATAATTAATGCCTATGCCCAACAGCCGTAACATAACATAGGAGTTAAAACTGCATATATAATTAAGTTGTTTAGCAAAATAACTATGTATTTGATGTCTTCGTCATAGTTCTGTGGCTTTATAATCAAGTAGGTTCATAAAAAGATGGAAAGACAGGCATTGTCCATTTTTTCCTTTTTGCATGTACTCCTTTCTCCAAACACTTTGATACATCTATGAAGAGAACCAAAAGCCAGCTCCTCTTTCATGATAAACTTAGCGACGACGACCACACCCGAGTGAGTCTTGTAGCTAAATATACCTTTATTATGCAAGATATATATCAAATGCCAAAGACTAAGAATGGCACCATGTCTAGTTGCAAGGATGAACAATGTTCATATTTTAAATGAAGACTGAAATTGTATAAGCTCCAGCAGTTTATTCGGGTTATATAGTTCTCTATTTTATTTCAGCTCGTGTTCAAATAAGACAATGACAAAATGAAATAATGAATTGAAATAAAAAATGAAAGAAAAGTGATAATTTCCCTTAAGAAGTTCCATTATTTTTGTCATAAGTCTACATCAGGACACGGTACAGCGGCTATATTGACTGCGTTTATTTTGACAAGGAAACAAACCAGCATGTGTTTTTTGACAAGATATGGTGAATGTGCTTAAATACTCATCTGTATGCCTTTAAATCACATTATGTTAAATTATTCAAAAAAGTTTGTACCTTTATAGAATCATTATGATAAGAAAGCATTGAATCAAATAATTACCAGTTACACTATATCATCTATCACCCAGTAATTATAGGCCTATTAGTCTTGCATCAGGTGTGTGAAAAGTTTTGGAAAGTCTGCTAAAAGATGCTTTGAAAATTCATTTAACAAGGTTTAAAATTTTATTGGATAATCAACATGGTTTCATTAAGGGATATATCTTGCCTTACAAATCTTTTGATATTCTTTGAAAAAGGTTACTGTTTATGTAGATGAGGGTAAGGATGTAGATTTCGTGTATCTGGATTTTCGAAAGTCCTTTCACAAGATGCCACATAAAAGGGTTGTAAAAAATATATATTGCTATAGGTGTGGGGGATACATTAGCTGATTGGATAGAAGAGTGACTGGATGGGAAAAAAAGTATATGATTGTTATAAATCGAGTTCTGTCAAACTTGATGTCACAAGTGGGGTACTTCAATGCTCAGTCTTAGGACCTTAACTCTTACTTAAATTTGCCGATTACATATAAGTATTTGGTGTTACTGGCTGTGTAGAGGATGCTGCTTTACAATGATTTAGATCATTTAGTGAGTTGGGTGAATAAATGGTAGATGGGTTTTAATTATAATAAATGCAAATTAATGCATGTGGGTTATCATAATTTGAATATAATGAGAAAAGGCAGCTGGAAGTTATATGGAATAGTTATAGTATTTTGGCATTTGTGTATAAAGTTAAAATCATAAAAAAATATTTAACGTTAAACTGGTACACAATTAAAAACATTTTATTTCAACGTTACAACGTCATCCATGTAGAGTCGTCAACTTTTTGAAAGCCATAGACAGGCCTAAATAAAATGTATTTAATTGTATACCAGTTTAACGTTGAATGTTATTTATGATTTTATATGGAATAGGTTTGTTCATATACAACCAGATGTAAAGAACAGAGCTGATTGTTAACTATAATATAGGCCTAAAAAACTTTTATTATCGCCCATAGAGGTGTAGTTATCCCATCTATTTTCCTATTAAAAGACACAAATACACTATTAAACCTTACCTTTGAAAGGAGTGAGGTTTGATAAGTTATATTTGTATGTAGATCTCTATATTTAACCGCCTGATGACTTAGGGATGCCATTATTTGCACTGAGTGATAGAATGAATGAAGAGAATCATAATCTTTGTTTACTCGTCAAAATGCTCAGCCGCATTCTCGCGACGACCTTGACACACCATATAAGCAAAACCCTGGTGTATTGTCTCAATTGATAAAAAATAAGGAAGCTGTTATCGGACATCTTCCTCGTCTATGTCTACTCTACATGCTAAAATTAAACTAAGCCCAGTGGCTCTATCAAAATTTGTGCTCCCCAGTGGCACAGCGGTATGTCTGCGAACTTACAACGCACAAAACCGGGTTCCGATACTCGTAGTGGGCAGAGCACAGATATCCCACTGTAGCTTCACTACAAACAATCAAAATTTGTTTGGCATTAACCTTTACACCATAGGGTGAAGAAAAGCAAAAGTTTCTGACCACCCCAGGTTGCCCAGAATCTTTTTTAAGGCTTAAAATATATTCAAACCTAAATTCCTGCCACGAATTTGATTTGATGTGAATTGGATCTGTTGGTTTTTAACATTTGGCCAACTCTTACTGTCAGTATGGAGGATTGCGTAAGGTCTTGGGCATTAAAACTTGTGAGACCTAAGAATGTCCCTAGTAGAATTTACATTATCTTATACTATAAGCTTTAATAGTAACACCATCTCGTTACAAGTAGTATAGTAAATCTTTTGAGGTTTGCATTAATCATATAAATGTACGATGTTTTCGTGCCTCATAACTTTGGCTTGTATATTTTAAGAATTGGGCTTAATTTAAAATATTTGACTTTTACGTATAAATTATAAAACTGGATGTTTTTCACAGCGCAATTTGAAAAAATAAAAAATGATCAATTGATGTTAATAAAAAAATACATAGATCAAAAATTACTTTTTTTATTGTGGGCAAGGTTTTCTTTAAATACATAAATATAACCGACAGCCTATTAAAAGACGTTAGGTACTGACATGTCACATATTGTACTGAGATCAAGAGAACGTCTTCCCATGGCAATAAGACAGATCATGATGTTACAATTTTTGACCTAACTGCAATTATTTATGTCAGTTTACAAATGTTTAATTTACTACACACTAAAAGTCTGAAATTCCTGAGCATTTGTCACAATTTCACGTTCTGATTAATTGATGATCATTTACAAACAAGTGACAAAATCACACACTGAGATCTACTTGATAAATATACATATATATAGTAAAATAAAAACAAAATATTTATACAAATTCACCTCACATACTTTTATCTCAAGAAAGGCAGAGGAACAGTTTTAATAGAAAAAATTTCCTTTAAAAGGTTTTCAGCTATGTGAGTACATGTGATGTCTTAGTTGTTACCTTGGTTTGCACATGGTGAAAAAAGTATATATCTATCTAAATGGCAGTGCTATAAGTATTAACTCCTTAGGTAGTTATACTTACAAGTGAGCAATTCTTGCTTCTTGTGATTCACGGTAATATGAAGAATGAAGTTCTTATCAAAACTGAATATATATATTTTAACAATCACATAAGCACCAAGCCTATATTTCTGTATGCTTGGTTTCAACTTTTCAGAACTGTAATACTTTTTACCTTTTATGCCAGAAAAACTTCTGTAAATTTGTGTCACAGGCACCTTAAGCTGTACATGAAAGCATGATACATCACAGTGTCATCAAATTTACATGATATATGTATCCAAGTTTGCCACCCCATGATTCAATCATAGGGAAATTTTTCCAAAATAATATATCAGAAGTTTCAATTTTCTAGCAATCCAAAATTCCAGATTTTTATAATTATGTAATAAGAAATATTTTGCTTGTGATATAAAAGATTTTTATGTTTACATTAACCTCCATACTTTCTTGCAAAAAAAAAAAAGTTCAAGACAATCCAGTTTTCCAGCTAAGTATAACCATTATGTTTTCTTCAAAGTATAGATTTATAAAGGTGGAATATGAAATATATTATCTTTCACTATGTAACAAACCCATTTTTTGAACAGTTTTAAAATATAGATATTATATACACACCTACGACATATTTAAGAGTTGAAAAGTGAAAATATTATATCAATAACTTAATTTTTAATAAGAACAATGTACAGCACATTACTATTACATATTTTCATGGTAATGTGAATGTATGTATGAAATATAATTCAAGAGTTTCTGACTTTGGGTACCCCAGCAAAATCATCAACCAGTAAAAGGTTAATATATAAAACTACCCATATGTGCTTCAAACAGTGAGGATGACACATCTCTTGATGATACTGTCATACAAAAATGACAAGGCTTAGTTAAAAACCATAGTTTGGTAAAATGGCAGTGTTTTCAGATATGGCAGAAGTATATCATGAATAATGGTTGCATAGTTTGGTGAGCTTAGGTTCCAAACTTACATATTGACCAGCTGGACATAAGTTATGTTTCCATTTTCTGTAAATTAAGTAACATTTTTTATAGAACTGAAATAATCAATCTTAAAAGCAGTTGGCCTTATGGGATCCCACATAACTGTTCCTTAACAGTTAGCTTCACTTGTTCTTTAAGTTTGGCACAAACTGCTATACTCTCATCAACTAAAGCAAAATATTAATAATAACAATAAAATTATTTAATACCTACGACAGTTTAAATTATGGAATACTTTTGGTCAAGAGACCACTAACCCGTCTGTATATTATACTTGGCAGTGAATGTTGTGCATAATATTCAACTAAACAAGTTAGCAGTATTTTTGGCATTATAATTTGAAAGATGGATGGCTACCCTTCTTTTGTTATAATTGTATTGTGGTATTTATAAGACATAAAATGTTAGTGAATGAACACGTTCGCTGCCATGTGCCCCACCAGTGGGTCACAATCGACCCTTAGTTATGGACCACATGACATACCAGTTGGTCACAGACAATTATGTTACACAGTCAAATTTCTCTTGTAGCATACGAGTTTGGAACACTATAACTGCTCCTCGCCACTTCTTGAATGAAACTAGGGTAGGAATTATTAATACTACTGGTGGCAATGAACATGTTAAATAAAAATACTACACTTGTACTCCTGACAGCTAACATAACCACTGTTGCAAATGACTACATATAAACCTAAAAGTCTCAGTGCATAACTAAGGAAGTGTTAACTATTCTAGAAGTTTAGAACCAATTAACCTTCCACTACTTTACAGCTTATATGAAACATTTCTGTTTTCTTAGTGTTGAATTGTTTGGAGACCCTACATCTGCTTAGAATCCATAAATCATTGTCTAGAAACTGCTTTAGAACAAGCCTTAGTGCAATCCTAGGAACAGCTATACAATGCAATTTTTCTCTCGTAAACTAAAAGTAAAATAAAAACATAAAAAATATTAGTCAAATAGATTTTTTTGCTTTGCCACTTCTCATCACTGTCAGAAAACCATTTCATAACTCAAAGTCTTGCACTTGATGTATTACTGGCAAAGCATCAATACACTCATGCATCAAATTGTCTTCACCAGAAAAAGGCTGTATGTGCAAAATGGTATAACTGCATCAACTGCACTTAGGTATGTTATATCTGTTGCCTTAAGAATAACTCCACCATAAAAAATACCAAATACTGTAATCACACTTTGCATTTGGCATGGGTACATGGGCTTCAAATTTTCAATAAAGGAACTTTTATAATTTCTTCTTTTCATCTAGTTGTAATTGCATGCTGGTTTCAGTCTGTTAATAGTCCTTATATCAGCTGTTCTAAACTGAAGATGGATAAGTAAATGCCTCAAAAACAACCCATATTATCACATGTTTGTATCTACACATCCACTATACAAGTTTTAACACTAGCTTCTGTAGATGGAAGATAGACAAACCAAAAAATAATAATAATTAAAAACTACTGGGGAAATCTACAAAATTTTCCATCTTGTTCAGAATTCACAACATAAGGTCATTCATCTGAGAACAAAAAATAGGCTGCTTTTATATCATCTCAGCCTATAGAATTTCCAACAGAAACAAATGTTGATCTGTTAACAACTTGTTTACATTAACAGTGTGTGTGAAACTTTCAAATGTCTTGAGCATATCTGTAATTTCTAGAAACTAGTTTCAAGATGTTGTCATGTGGCAGTAGTTGAAGCTGTTGGTAGCTGAAATAGAGAAAATTTATAATAAATGAAATTATTCATAGAAAATGTAGAGAAAAAGATATGCAAAAAGAAAAATGTTAGAAAATAACTATTTGAACCTATTTAACTATGGAACTTCCTTGATATAAAGCTTGAAAACCAGAGTGCAACAAGAAAAAAAAAATCACATACAGTAATATGGAAGTATATATGACTACACTTAACATAACTTAAATCATATCTACTCAGTCAAAATCTATTAATTGGTATTTTTGCTATTTCACCTTCAAAGAACAAGCTATGTATCTTCAAAGCCCTACAGTTATAATATGCATACTTCAATATGCGTTTTTCACCCGTAAACATTGTTCAAACATTCTTTTAGAAGGCATATTTTTCTGAAAAGCCATAAGATTAATATATAGAAATTTACTAATTGGTTATACTTGTATATATTGGTACTGAAGTTGATTTATCAATATCAAGTCAGAAATGTATTTTTTGTTTTCTTATGAAATTACTTTAATCATTTTAGATGTTATAATTCAAGCTATTTGGTTAATACAAAAAAGCAGAGGGTTTAATTCTTGTGGAAGTATGGACAATAAAATCCTCTATTAGGTAGAGACAATGCAAATTGATACATGATTTCCCCAAGTTTTGGACAAAAAAATTTCATTTGAAAAATGTTTTCAAATATGAAGAGTAATTGCTCAAAAAGCCAATATGGAAGCTAAAAACATTAGCATATTTCTATTTGCATGTTTAGTTTTGTTTTAAGTTCGTGCAAAGCTAATCAAGGGCTATCTGTGCTAACCACCCCTAATTTAGTGTGATAGACTCTTGGGTTACTCTTTTACCAATGAATAGTGGGTTGGACCATCACACTATAATGCTCCCATGACTAAATTGGTGAACATGTTCGGTGATGAGGATACAAACCCGTGACTTGTAGATTGTGAGTTGAGGACCTGAACCATCAGGCTGGCATGGATCTAACATATATTAATTAATACAATACAAATATAATAAAACATGAATGTTCAAATATACTTGTAAGATCTACTTCACACCTATTGAATCACTTCATTTAGCCTAAAGATACCAAAAGATTAGCGTCTGTAACTTTTCTCAATTTTATAGTATTTCTTAATGGTTTTAAGAAGTTGTGATTATTCTGCTTATAGAAAGTACATGAAAGCAGTCTTACAGGATGTAGGATAAAATTGTCGTAGACATCCATTAGGTCTTCCATTGTATACTCCTCCAAAATGACAAACTCTTCCAATTCTGAGTTGTCCTTAATGGCACAATCAAGACAATGAACCATATGTTTCTTGTCCACCTCCTTCACAAACAGGATGTTGAACACTTCAAGCTAAAGATTTTTTGTTTTAAATGAAACAGTAGAAATTATCAGCAGGCTTAATTTTACTTTTCAACACTGTCAAATATTTGTTCCACAAATAAAAAATTTGATCTTATTGTATTATTATTCCTTATATAAAAACTATTTGTAATTTGTCCAATACTGGTTCAGAGGGTAATTATTTCTCAGTCTCTCATTAAAGAAATCATTTAAAATTTAAATGAATGCTTCTATATTTCTTATTTCAGTTGAACAGTATGACTAAAATATAATTAAGATCTTGCTTCTAACAAAAAGAAAAAATCAGTCTAAATTGAATTACCTAAACTATATTGAAAAAAAAAATTATCATACTATGCATTTCAAGTTAAAGAATTGGTTCTGTTACAAAAAGTGCTACTTCATGAAAATATTATATTTACATGTTAAGAAAATAGTTTAATCTTCAGAAATAGTTCCTAGCATCAAATCTGCCTAAACAACAACAATTGCAGAGATTAAAATAAACACAAGCACATTACTTGACCCCATAATTATGCAGAAAATTATCAGACATTAGTACCTCACAATTTCCACAATAATGTGCAGTTTCATTTTTTCCTCGACCATGCCACCTAATGTTCTTTTCAAGACTTTTCACTAAATCAATAGACAGCTGGCACATCTGCAATGTCTTCATTAGACAGAACCTGTGAAGAGCACAGATATCAAGATCAATTGTTCTGAAGCTTCAAATTCTGGAACACAATATTTCAAATGAAATATATGAGCACCTCATAACTGTTGAAATCTCATTCAGTTAATTTGATAGTCATCAGACAAGTTTACTATGAATCAAGTGATATCTGTTAGGAAAGAACAAAACAATGCCTTGAAACTTTTCCATTTAAAATGTTCTTTTTACTTTAACAAAGCAGGCTTCTTCCTTAGTACATTTTTTGTTTTAGCTAGATGACAAAAAATAGTTCACTCACTTTATTAATTTATACAGTTTTTGATCTGACACTGTGATGTTTCTAGCCAAATTCCATGTCAAATGAGCCAATGGAACAATGGACTTGTACTTTTCTATTTTATTCCATTCGTATCTCTCTATGGCCAGTCGATATTGGTTGGCTGTCAATGGACCAACATTCCAAGCAATATTATTGCACCATCCCTAGTGTAAATGTAATAACAGGAAAGATTCTTTTAACTCAGAAACTGTAATACATAATAATATAGTGTGATAAAGATCTGGTACTCAAATATGTTTCTTAATCTGTATCATTTAAAAAATTAAAAGTAATAATTAAAAACCAATATTATCATAATAATTGAACATCTACTTCAGAACGAGATATTACTTAAGCATTAGTTACTAACAGACATTTATAAACATAATATAAAATATGGTTTATTTATATTATAAGCACAGTTTTGTTTTCAAATTAAGCATAATATAAAAATATAGCTTTCAAAAACAAAATACTTTATGGCCATTAAAAAATTAGAGATATATGTAGACCTTAAGCAAATATAAATTGTGACTCAAAGAAAAATAATAAACTTATACCCTCTTGTAGCTGACTTCTATGATGGATGGATCTCGAGGAGAGTGATTTCTGGCACTAAAAATCAGTGAACAATAAAGTACTGAGAAAAGATGTGTACAATGTGTTTATGTATATGGAGTGTAGGTTAGGGGTATAAGCGGCATCAAAACTGGGGGTGCTATAGTGCCCCCACTCTTACATATTTGATATATATAGCAACTGTAAATTATATTATTATGGGGGAAATGCGCCCAGACCTGCTTATATTGAGATGCCTTTGGCAGCACAGCAGCTCCTTATACTTTCAGTCTCTCATTGTAAAATCTAGCCAAGCACCCCTGCTTTGAAACTCTTCCTACACCACTGGGTATGGTATTGATTTTTGCCAAACATCAGTCAGTTACACATAAATTGATTCAGTTTTAACACTGACCACATCCACATATCACCTTAATATTTGCACAGTATAAACAGATGTTGTCATGAATGCTAAAAAACCTCAGAAACTATGCCACTGAATATTCATATGTATTGTGACATTGTATATAATCTGACATTCATAATAGTGTAATACCAAATTCTCATACTCGTTGTTTTTCAAGATTGACCAGCAGACATGCCGAAGTACAGAAAATGCTACATCATTCCCTCAACACCTACAGGGTTTCTAGAAATGTTCAAAATCACATCACTAACAGGCAGGATGGAGCAGTAGTTCTGATGACACATGTGACTAAGGTTCTAGTGACAGCATAACTTGGACAATGTGGATTTCAGCATTTCTTATCTCTTACACACCACATCCATGCTTTACGCTCGCTGTAGTTGTGCTTTCTGTGGGTTACAGGAATAACATTGTGATTTCATGTATGTATTTCTTTCCTCAGGTAAACACAGGTGTTACATGCCAGGCTATAATCTGTTGTAGTGTTTCAAATTGATAATAGGACCGAAAACAGGGTTTATGGGGACCCATCCTATTATAAATTTTCTAGAAACAAAAATTGTTTCTCTTATTAAATAAAAAAAATCAACATAAAATATTTACGATGTAATCACTGTCATGAGTATAATTGTTTCTTCCAGATGATGAAAACATAATTATGGATAAACTTTCTTTTTTTTTTCTGTAAACAAATGAATACTCATTTAAATGTTTTCAAATACCAAAAGCTTTGACTGTTTTTCATAAATGAATTTTAATCTTTATTATGTCAATACACACACACGGACTAAACTCTCTAGTATTATTTAAACTCTTTAAATTTATTAATACTATTATTATAACATAATTTTATGCCAATTTATATTTACAAATGTATACATTATATGAAGAGGTTCTGATAAATATTAGTAAATGACAGAATTTCTCACCACAGCTTGGACCCAGTGAACAGTACCAGCATTAACCCACACAAAATCCCCAGGTTTTTGCAGGAACCTATATACTGGAACATTCTCAGCAAGCAAGTCTTCAATGATTGGCCACCAGGAACCATGCAGATAGTTGATGTTATTTCTGGAATAAAATTTAAAAATGTAATGATATAGGTGTAATAGTCAGTAAAACCTTATATTGTTTTCTTTATTACAAGAGTATACCTACAATATTTTTAAAAAACACATCTTGTTCTATTCAGAAATTACCTTAAAACTTTTTCACCAATGGGAATTGTATAATGTATATTTTTTAAAAGGAAGTCAAAACCATTAAGAATTAGAATTTTTTTTGTTAATGTTAAAAGTAAATGTTACTCAATCTTCAGTATTTGCATAGGTTTGCTCTTCAACATAGATTAAAATGTTGAAACAATGGAAACAGAAACAAAATAAAAAACCAAGATCTTACAAGAAAAAGGTTTACCTTTCACACAGTCTGTGGATTACTCCCCAGTAGGGCTCAGGAACTGCAAACCACTCACAATCCCCAGGACCAATGTTGATGTTGATGGAACAATAGTTGTTGTTTTCCTGATGACCGGGCGTCCGACTTCCGGGAACTTTCATATACAATTGAACTGTATTCATTCCCAAAATAGTATGGCCAACATGGCTCAGCATGTTCCCAGAAGTAGCCACCTGGGGAATAGTATAGCAGCTATAGCTAAAACATTGCCAGAAAGACTAAGGTATTTGACTGCCAAAATGGAATTTATTTTAAGTCATAGGTTTGTGGTCAAATCATCATATGAAGGTACTGGTTTAATTTTAGGTTTATTTTATGTTAACTAATAAAAAGATATAATATCTAATGTTAAAATTTGTGATTGTAACAAATCAAAATATTAAGATCTAACCTTCAAATATATAAAGTTTAAATCTAATTTAATTCTATTAACTTAATAGTTTCTCTCAAAGAAATTATGCAATCTTCCAAAACTATAAATTTTTATGAACAAATTAAAATTATTAAAAATAAAATTAACCCACTGTAATATCTTATCCTTATCAAGTGTATAGCATAATCAATGTAATTAATGCCCTTTCCACTTCAACACTTAAGAGACACACCAAGCAATAAAAAATATGTACCCTTGCAAAAGATGGGAGCTTAGTGAGCTCCTGCAGTTGTGTTCTCCATTTACGTTCATCAGAAAGATCAACATTTGTGCCAAACTTGATTGTCTTAAATGTACTTGTTTTTTTCCCCTTCTTCCCCCTGACAAACAAGTAAAAACATACTCTGGTGAGTTCACATTTCTATCTTTTATGACAAGTACATTTTACATAAAGAGTGGTTACAAACAATTATGTTACTAGATCCAACTCAAATATTAAGATGTAAAAAATTAATAATTTAAAATGATATATTAATTCTTTACCAATAAGTGTAGTTTAACATAACATATAATATTTTGAGACAACATGGAACCTATTGGTCCATCTCGGTTGTACCTTCATCAAAACTAAATTAAAATGATTTAAAAAACTAAAAACAATTTTAAACTCCCTTTTCATTCATATTCTTATCAAGATTTTTCTTAAACTCACTTAAGTTTACTGCCTCAATAACATCTGAAGGTAACCCATTCCAAAGGCCAACCACCCTG